AACGTAACATCTTTTGAGATGAGTGTTAGAAATCACATTATTGCTATTAGGATTCCAAGTCAGTCCACCGTGAGAAGTTTTTATCAGGCCCTGCTCTGTTCTGCTGTTTGTATACCCATCCTTCCTCAGGAATGAGGATCAAAGAAGGAGGTATGCCCACATTTTTAGTTTTGATAGGGTTAGTAACTTTGTTCTCCTTTACCACAATGACAGGTAAGAGGCTGTTACAAATTAGCATTGTAGAAAAAGCGTTGCCATAACCGATGACCACATTGGGGGGAGTTTTGTTTTTGTTTTTGTTGGCTGTTAAACTATGGAAGAAAATTCGAATCTAAGGTAGTCTATTAGATAGAAGAAAAGATTTTACCTCTGTATAGTGTATGTGTGTGCCGTGTGTATACATAGTGAGAGAAAGACAGACTTTCACGGGAGTCCTTATGGGCTAGCGGTGTAGCCCAGTAATCAGCTCTCAGAGTGGGCTAATTCTGGGTTGCTTCTGGGATAGATGAAAAATGGTCAGTCATGACTGAACTTGAACATTTATCCCATTTCGAGACATTCAGAAAGTACCCAAACCAACATCTGCTATCTTACCTCCTCAGAACAGGCTTCATTTTGACAGAAGAAGGCAGCCAGGGTGAGGCATTTAGCAGCTCTCACTACCCCCTCTAATCGTGGTGTTTCAGAAGATTCATTTAGTATCAGTGTGTAGGAGAAGAGGCAGAATAGACCAGTTTTAAAAGTCCAGGGCAGCTCTGGGAATGGACAGATCAGTATCTGAGAGACATTACCAAGGAAAAATGAAAAGTTGGGAAATCCATGTCTGTGAGAGGAACAGAGAAAGAAAATTTCATGTCAGGAAGAATACAGCATTTTCAACTGAGAATGACTGAGGCTGCGGCCGTCTGAGGCATTTGTTGATAATCCCACTGCTTAGGGAACTTAAAAAGAGATTTAAAAATATACCACAAAGGCTAAAACAGCAGGTCTAGGCAAAAATACAATCAAAATTAAAGACGAGCAAATAGATAAACATCAAATAAGGGCATCCCCTCAGCACAAGAGCAGTAAGTCAGTAAGAGCCCGAGGGAGTCTGTCTTTTCCAGCGAGAGTCCCGTGTAAAGAGGGGTCACTCAGGAGCAGACAGGAATGTGCTGTGTTATGAATTTGAAGCTATGAGGCTGAGACTGGAGGAGTGCAGCGGAGGGCACGGAGTTGATGTTCTATTCAAATTCCCTAGAGCCTATTGCGTTGTAAATTCAAAAGGCTAATAAAGGAAAACTATATCTCAGATATATAGGCTAGGCAGGGCCGGTTCACCACTAAGGCCAAGCAGCATTAAGTGGAGCCACAGAGCTGCACGTGAGCAGAGAATGTGTCCCGGGGCATGTCTGTTTGATGGAAAGGTCCCTTTTGGGACCCAGGGTCAAAGTATTTCAGAGGACAGCTGGCCATTTGCTGGTGCATCATTTTTCCCCTGTTGTGGGGTGAAGAAGAGGGAGCCTGGCATTTCTGCAAGTACCTAAGGGTCGCCTTTGATGACTTCCTTCCCCTCATTCCCTCATCCGGAGCCCCCCGGTCATTTTAATGTCTCTCATTCATCTTGTTTTCATTTCTGTTGACATAGGTGCTAATCTGTGAAAACGTTTTCACTCATATCCACACTGAAAGGAAAAAAAGAAATAATGATCTTATGGAGAATTTTTTGATAAAGCTTTATCTATTCCTTTTAAAGAACTGTCCCTTTTAAAGAACTCACCCTGCTATTAGGTCCTCTCTACCTTTGGTGTGTTTAAGTGGCCTTTCTTTATGAAATGAAGAGAGTAACAGATGGTAGTTTAATGCAAAAATCCTGTGCCAGTCCCCGACTTTTTTTCTCCTGGTTTGTAAAACCTGTAAGTCTGGGAGCTGCTCCCTGCCTGGCATGTCACCCCAACTTTGGACTCCTCATTAAAACCTTGCTTTTCTTTAAAATCTTCTTCCGTACCCCAGACTCTCCAGCAAGAGGGGCCTGCCCAAGGCCCCCCTGCCATGTGATTCCCCTGCTGGGCCCCAGGCCTCAGCCAGGCGCCTCCACTGCCACCATCGTCCCTCACGGCCCTGCCAGAGCGTCCCCCCGCCCAGCTGTTTCCTGCCTGCAGGGTCCTCCCCTGCCTGAGCCGCCTGGCTGCGTCCTGTCTATTCCAAGGCCAGCTTGGTCCCCACCGTGCTGTGGCTCTTCCCGAGCTCCTCCTGCACAAGTCTCCCTTTCTGCATGCCGGTCGCTCTGGAGGATTCCATCCCTCCCGGGGCACTTGAGTTTAATCCTTCCATTTTCACATGGTGACTTCTCTCCCCAGCCAGACCCTGGGGTAGCTTTCCCGGCCCGCCTCGTGCAGCGCTCCCGCCCCGCCAGTGCCTCCACGCAGATTCGCCTGCGCCTTGGAAGGCACAAATCCAGACCCTCCGCGGCCAAACTGTTAAGCTGGGCCACTAAGATCCCAGCTTAACCCTGTGTCCTTCCAACTGTACTCCCTACAAAGGTTACTTGTATTTTTACTTCCCAAAGCACGGGAGGCTAATAGGTGACAGTCTGAACGCTCAGCATCCCAGGCCGTATCTCCGTGTGCTCAGCATCCTGCGATACTAAACGCCTGCCCAGCAGGAAGTGGGATGTGCGGTGAGCCAGTGAAAGAGCAAAGTCAAAGGTGGAGGAATGCTTTCTGCAGGAGAAAGGTGAAGTTTCTGCTTTGGATTGAATGGGGCTAGAAAATATAAGCCAGCAAAAGGGTGGGAAAAGGGCAGGCCGGTGACAGCAGCGAGGATGAATCAGCAAGCTGCCTGCAGGGGGTATCGTGTATCTAAAACCAGAGTTCTCAACTCTAAACCAGGCGCGGGCGTTTACCGGAGGGCGAATGGGCCTGGGGTCAGCTGCACAGCAGTCCCAGGTGCAGCCCAGCCATGAGACACAGCGAGAGCCGATCGAGTCACCTAACCACATCGTATTTTTATTTTTCCATCTCTGCAATGGGGGGCAGGGAGTAAACAGTGTGATACGGAAGTCTATCTTGATATAGAAGCATTCAAAGAGGTGTTAATTTTTTAAAACCCAATAGAAGTTTCTGTGCATCGTACTGTGAGACGTGTAACGTGATGCAAGAATTGCACCAAACTCATGACTGAACTTTAGGCCAGTTTTGTCAGTAATTCTGTAACTCTGCTAAATTACAGAATTTAGCTGCATAAATAAACCTGCTGCATAAACCCATGCATGTTTGTTTCTTCCAGAGTGATAATTTCTTCAAAAAAGCGACGACAGCAATAAACTATGTTGGATTTCTTTCATCTATACCTTAATCTGCCAGGGGCTTTTGGGTTGGCGGGGAGGGGGACGATGTCAGCTTTGTTCCTTCAGCTCTGCCTTTTGTGAGTCCAAACAATGATTATACTTAATGGTGCATTTGCTTTCTGTTTCCCCATCTCCGGCTTCTCCCTCCCGAGTGCGCGCTCCCGCCGCTGGCTAGGCAGCGTGGCAGGTTGTCGGATCATGTCTGTCAAGCCCATCCTCTGACTGATGCTGTCTCCACTGAATTTATGGGATCAGCTCATCTCCAGGCACTGAGCAGGTCCCTGTCCACCTTGCTCTTCCTTCCTTTCCTCTCCCACCATAACATTGCCCTTGCTCTGTCTTCTCCGTCTCTAGCAACTATCATAGAATCTTACGATTACTACCCACAGTTTTCAAAATGAATTTTTGCACTCTAAAAACTCTCTATCCTTTTATTCCAAAATATCATTTAAGTGCTTCTTTTACACTCCTTACCCCCTATTTTCACGTATTATTATGATCTTCCACTTTTTTCCTTCCCTGGTGACTCTTGCCTTTCTCAAATAGCATCCTTTCTCTATTAGTTCTGCGTCTGGACTTACTTTAACCAGGACATGGTTCAAGTCTCCACCTTACATCGTAGAACCTCTTATTAATGAAGTGACCTTAGTATCAGTCTGAAAGCCAACCTTAAGTATATTGTTATCCCAAGGAAACCTCTATTTCTCGTTCAGAATTTTGCATTTTTTCCCCTTTCTTCAGTCAGCTCTATCATATTTGAAATTTTCTCTGGTACCACTACAGATGGAAAAATCAGTTCTTTAGTCAGATGCCATATCTATCACACATATTTAGAAGCACAGGACAGCTTTTAAAATACATCCTAACACTTAAATTATAAGTTTCTCTTATGTTTATATGCTAAAAAGATTACATGTATAATAAAAGGGCAAATGATCATTAAATATCAGGAAATACTGCATCTCATTTCACTAAACATAATAAATCATCCTTTAAGATATCACCCATTCTTACAATGGTGTAGACAAGCTAGGTTATCATCAGTATAGACAAGCTAGCTCATCATCGCCATTGCCAACATTTAAGTTCCAATTTACCATTATAAAATGTGTCAATCACTGAGAAATAAGAAAGTCTTTCGAAGGCGTTTATTATATTGATTTGTTGAGGATGTCTCAAGATATTAAAGGAGTATTTTACATGTGCAAATACATATAGGCATGTATACCTACTGTTTTACAAAGTTTTATATATATGCATATTGTACCACCATAGAGGGGATAAGTTAGTAAAACTTTAAAAACTGATATAACAGCGAATTAAATCTACTTTGTAGAAAATATGGAGGAATACTAAGGAATTTAATATCAGCAAACATGTTCCCTTTGAAACAGCAAATTAGATGTGCAGGAGGATTTTGGTCACACTTCAAAGAATAATGTGCGGAGATGGAGAGCTATTCTGTTTACTCTTGCTCTCACCGGTGAGGCTTTTCCATGTTAAACAGGTTTTTGATTACTTCAAAGTATGTTTGAAGTCCTCACTCTGTGTAGCTCATGCACAAAGACAAATATTCTTCCAAATTTGTGCAACGAATATTGCTGCACGTTATAGTTATAAGAAGAACCTGCAGTCTCCTATTTAATACTGAGTTAATGCCGCTTTGCTTTAGCTACGACAGTGAAGGTCGTCTGACAAATGTTACGTTTCCCACCGGAGTGGTCACGAACCTGCACGGGGACATGGACAAGGCCATCACAGTGGACATCGAGTCATCCAGCCGAGAAGAAGATGTCAGCATCACTTCGAATCTGTCCTCAATCGATTCTTTCTACACCATGGTTCAAGGTACACGCAAAAGCACAATTTTAAACTGATAGTTTTAAAATACCACTAGTGCCCAGATACAATGTGGCAACCCCCATTCCCTAAGATGAACCAGAAAAGGGGAGGTGAAAACAAATCTCTGGAGATATTGGTGAAGGAATCTAGAATGTACAATGTACATGTAACATTTATTTAGTTATAGATTTTTTTTTCAAAATAGCATAATGTATAAGATAATCTGTCAGCCAATAGGGATAGTGTCTGTTTCCATTCCCATTTAATAAAGCAAGTTAATTCCAACTCTTCACACGCATCACCTGACCATTGCTGAGCCATCTAACACGGATTCCAGAGCGTGTCCTTGTACTGCCCTCCACGTACAGTAGTTTGAGACACAGAACTTCCTGAATCTGGGTGTATGATGCAAGATTTGTGTCTTCACATGATGGACATTTTAGTCCAATTTCCAAGTACTCATATAGGGGATATCTGGACTGTTTTCTCATTCCATCTATAGGCATATGTATCCAATGCCACCATAATGAAACTTCCTGCCATATTCCTTCTTAAACTAATCTTGAAAAAGCCTGTTTGCAATGACGTTTACAATTGTGAGGTCACAACTCTAAGAATAATGAATGACTAAATCTGTGTTCTTTTTTTTTTTTTTTTTTTTACCAGTTCCATCAAGTCATCTCTATAATCATCTAAAACTGATAGTGTTTGAATTCGTTTGTTCCCCTAATGGTCCTGTATTATTCCAAAACTCGAAATCAAGATAGTAGTCTACAATACAAGAGGGTTTGTTGTACAAAATATAAAATGGCTTTCTTTTTTAAAGTCAGTTTCAGGGGGAATATCACTTTATATTTTTGATATTCAAGATATAGATACTAATCCTTTCAAAGGAACTTTGACAAAAGATCTAGGGACAGATGTAGGGGAGGGAAGTCTTCTAAGCCCCTGGAGGTGGGCACACCAGCCTCCTAAAACACCATATTTGACTCTTTACAAAGTATTTATCGAATGCACATCCCACGGAGCCTGAGCCCTCATGTCATCAGGCAAATGGGAAAAAGAAATCTATTAAATTAGAGAAGGACTTTAAATTCCCTTAAAGTTTGCCTTTAATATTAACCCAAACCTCTGACGGCATGAAATGCCAGAAATCAAAATTGTTTCGTTATTTTCTAAAAGAACATCATTAATTACGTACTCCTTATGTCTAATCAGCATTTTAGAAGTTTATATCGTCTTTCACTGTACAACCAGCCAAGTGTTTAATCCATACCTAGGAGTTCATGTTTTATGCTTCTTGTTTTTTTAGATCAGTTGAGAAACAGCTACCAGATCGGCTACGACGGCTCCCTTCGGATCATCTACGCCAGTGGTCTGGACTCACATTACCAGACGGAGCCACATGTCTTGGCTGGCACAGCTAATCCAACAGTTGCCAAAAGAAACATGACTCTTCCTGGTGAGAACGGTCAAAATCTGGTGGAATGGAGATTCCGAAAAGAGCAAGCCCAGGGGAAAGTGAATGTCTTCGGTCGAAAGCTCCGGGTAAGTGCGTGCGGGAGAGCAGCAGATGGCCGCAGCCCCCTGTGTCTGCAGGTGGCCCCTGCACCCTCCCCTGCCTGCACTGTGAGGGCCACACTCCGGTGGGGTCAGCGTCCTACCGCAGAGCCTGAGTGGCAGCCAGTTATCGCGCCATTAAGATTGCTTGGGATAAAAGCCACTCATTTGAGAGCATGTTTTCCTCAGTGCATCTATGATTAAAAATCAATTCTCCTGGGAAATTAGAAAATTGCATATAGCATAATCCTAAGTAGCCAGGATTCCTATTTTACTCATATTATCTTAATAATCTTATGCTTTTCCTTTGCCTATTCAGTTAGGATTGATGGCTTCTTAATGTGAAGATGGGATAAGAATTGGTTTAAATACAGAAAATTTTCCAGAAGCATAAATATGTGTATTGAAAGAGATAGGCTGGCCATTGAAAGGTGAATTCATTCTCTACCTTCTCAGTATTTTAAAACTACAGTTTGGGTACATAGAAGAGTATGAACTTCAGCACCTAACTGCTGCCTCTTCTCTATTGATGGAAAACTCCAATTTATATTACTTTTATGAGAAATGCAATATTTCTGATTATGCTAGTGTAATTGAGCTTTGCAAAATGTTCTCTGCGATTCCTTGTTATATATTTTTTTAAATCCATCTCACATTATGGGCCAGATATATCGAGGCATGTGAGGCAAGCTGTGATTTATGATAGCTATTTGGTAAAGACAACATAGATTAAATACTGAAACAAATTGCAAAAAACCACCTTTGGCCACTATAAACTGAACCTGATTCATTCTTTCTATTAGTAAGCAAATTTTAGTTTATCAGATAAATATAGATTAATTCTTCCCAACATTACTTTCCTTGCCATTTAAAAAAAAATTACTGAAAATGAAGGAGAAAGAACAAAACATGGGGCTCACTGACAGTGTCCATTTTTCTGCACCCAAAATGATTAAATTATTACCCTAACTGGCCAACATTATTAACCTTGGCAATCCTTCAGGATAAGAAAACAGCTACTAAATAATGTCTCTGGCTAGAGAGATGAAGTTAAAAAAACAATCAGTGGATCCAGTATAGACTCTGTCTAACTTACAGGTTATATTCTGATTCTGGTTCAATTACAAAACAGGTGTTTGGGACTCTAAATATATGGTCTTCTGGGGCCAATGCCATGTGCTCCCCCTCACCCCATTGCAGGCTATGGGAGCAAGACACCCTGGTTCCAGTCCCACGCGGGTCCGTCCGGCAGGCTGCAGCCGGGGAGGCCGGGGGGGAGGTCAGCTTGCAAGAGGGCTGAGAAGAAAAGGCAGCAGGGCACCAGCGGGAGAATGAGATTGGGGTGAATAAAGCGATGGGCAAGAAAACTCGCTCCCAACATCTTCCAGGTCACTTTCGTGGGGTCATGGTGATGGTCATGGTCATGGTCTATCGCCAAAGTGAACTCCAGCTCCTGCCTTTTCCTCTGCTGAACCTAGGAGGCTGCCACCGCCTGAAGCCATGTTTGCTGCCTCTACTTGCAGCTGCTTCCCAGGGCCCCAGTTGCGGGGGCCATCGCACACAGAAAGCGGTTCACAGGCTGATCCCTGAAGCAGTGTGTGCACACGCACACACACACTCTGTGTCACACTTCTTCTCAGACATGGGACTTCATCAAAAGACACAACGACACTGCTCACATTTGTGCTCCTCACTCTGCATACCAAAGAACACACAGCACTTAACTCGAATTTTTAAAACTACGTGTTACAGGCCGGGCGCAGTGGCTCACACCTGTAATCCTAGCACTCTGGGAGGCCTAGGAGAGCGGATTGCTCAAGGTCAAGAGTTCAAGACCAGCCTGAGCAAGAGCGAGACGCCGTCTCTACTATAAATAGAAAGAAATTAATCGGCCAATTAATATATAGAGAAAAAATTAGCCAGGCATGGTGGCGCATGCCTGTAGTCCCAGCTACTCGGGAGGCTGAAGCAGTAGGATTGCTTGAGCCCAGGAGTTTGAGGTTGCTGTGAGCTAGGCTGATGCCACGACACTCACTCTAGCCTGGGCAACAAAGTAAGACTCTGTCTCAAAAAAAAAACATACTATGTGTTCTAGATCAGGCTCCACTTTTTACCAATAGTAAACCTTATGGGAAAATCCTAACATGTCTGAATATCAGTTCCCTTATCTATATCATGATATCTATATTATGACATAGATAATATAATATTACCTAAATAATGTCACATTATGATATAGATATGATATATAACTATATCACAGATCAATGAAATTTACCCTATCCTGCCTCTCTGTTTCACACAACTGTTACAAGAATCGAGTGAGACAATGTGAAAGTAGTTTGGAAATCCAAGGCGTGGTTATACATTCCCTAACCCCAACCCAGATCCTTGCAAACACTTGGGCATTTCCACTCACACAGCTGACAGTAAGGAGAGAGCTGTTTAGCTTGCTGGGTAGGAGAACATCAGTGGAGTGAGGCAAGAGTGGGAAATGCTTGGTCCAGAAACTGACCACGTAACTTATGGGCTGCTGTTCTTTGAGAAAAGTTATATTTAAGCATATCCTGTTTTTCCTTGTAACACTGCCTTTCAAGACATAAAAGTCAGGTAGGTAGGGTAGAGAAGAAGAGAGGAAACCCAATCTTAAGTCTCTGGTTTTTGGCCTGATCCTAAATGAAGAAAATACCTCACTCTTAAGGGAGAAGGAGACCAGGACACACAGGCACAGGTGTTAGTTTCTTTCTAAATGGCAGAACCACAATGCCTCAGCAAGACATTTCAGAAAATAAACTATTTAAAATGGCCTGTGCAGTCCCCCTGAAAGGAGATTTCCAGCTGATATGTTTGATTGCTCTCACAGAGACAATGCCAAGATCGCAAGGGAGGGTTTCTTCCTTTCAAGATAAGATTGGATGTGCCAGCTCTGACTGCTAATTTCATTCCTCTGTGGATTCTAAGAGAAATTCTGGGAAGAAAGTGATGATAGGAAAATCTGGTTTAAGGACTGAGCCTGGAGTCTGCCAAAACAGGGGAGCGGCAGGAGGGGAGGGAGACCTGGGCCCACCGAGGCCGGCAGGGTCAGCCCGGAGAGCCCCCCACGCCCGCTCCACCCTTTCTGGAGACAGAGGACGTCTGCTCTCCTACCATGCATTGTTTCCTAGCAGAAACTTCTCTTCGTTTTTAAGTTATTGACCTAGATTTAGCTGTGAGCCTGTCACACGGTGGACACTCAAATATTTATCCAATAAATGAAAGAATGAGGAAAGCCAAGCTTACAATATGGATTCTCTCTATTTCACTGCACCTGGATCTTCCGAAGAGAGGGGCTCTATGAATAGCACGCCCTTGCAAATGTGTCACTGCTGTAAACAAACCTAACATTAGATATAACAATAAATAGAGATAACAGAGGTAACACTATTATGTGTACATAAAATAGAGTAAAAAGTTAAAAAGGCAGGGAGTAGAAAAGGAAAAATTATATATGAAACTAGCAGCGTGAAAAGCATTTTTGTGAAGCAGTGCATTGGCAGAGAAGGGCCTGGATGCAGCAGGAGGTGACAAGCACATGAAAGTGTCACAGAGATGAGGGGCAGCACAGCAGGGTAAAGACGAGACAATTCCATAACTTACCGGTTTGCAGCTACATTTAAAAAAAAAAAAAAGGATCTACATACATAGCAGTTGCTTGTCTTTGTCTTATAATATCTGGTAAATATTGCCAGTTACTATTTTTTTTTTTTTTATCAGGGCTGGACTTTAGAACCAGCCTTCAATCAGTTACAAAAGATTGTCATGGTGTTCTAACAATAAAACTCATCTCCTAGCGCTGCCTAGAATTCAGAGGCTTAAAGGAAAAACTGTAGTAAATCATTTAAAAAAGAAATTCTCAAAATTTGAAAGCCAAACGTGTGTTTAAAGGCATACATAAACACGATAGCATATTTCCATCTCATTATGCCAGTCACATTTGCGTGGTGGCCTATTTCTCACTTTCGGCGGAGCGGCACGGCCTAGAGTGGGATGGCACAAGGCAGCTGGCACTCGCGGACGGGGGCGGAGATACAACACAACCTGTAGTGAGTTGGTGCTCTAACGGGGACGCAAAGGAGTCCCAATACTGTATGCTGGGCAGCAAGCTGGTCCTTCCTCCATCACTTCCCTCCATGACATCTCGAGTAAGTGAGGCATAAGCAGGCGTGCCGGCTCCTCTCCAAGGGGAAGACTGTTGCATGTCACTATGCCACAGTTTTCCAAGCATTGCAGAGGGAAAGTTATAGCTGCCCCCTTCCAGCATCAAAGGGCTGGTGTGATTAATTACAATCATGCTGGACAGGATCTTAGAAAATGGAGATTTTCCGTACTTACTTAAAAGAAATACTGTGTATCACAAAAGAATTCGTGGTGATCTCTTATCCGTATACAACATTTGGATTCATTTTTTTTTTTTTTTTTTTGAGACAGAGTCTCGCTTTGTTGCCCAGGCTAGAGTGAGTGCCATGGCATCGGCCTAGCTCACAGCAACCTCAAACTCCTGGGCTCAAGCAATCCTCCTGCCTCAGCCTCCCGAGTAGCTGGGACTACAGGCATGCGCCACCATGCCCGGCTAATTTTTTCTATATATATTAGTTGGCCAATTAATTTTTCTATTTATAGTAGAGACGGGGTCTCGCTCTTGCTCAGGCTGGTTTCGAACTCCTGAACTCAAACGATCCGCCCGGCTCGGCCTCCCAGAGAGCTAGGATTACAGGCGTGAGCCACCGCGCCCGGCCTGGATTCATTTTTATATAGCTGGAGGTATAGTAATGATAAGACACAAACTTTTTCATCTTTACATTAACTGTTCGATTTAACTTGATATTTTTATAATGATTAAAAGATTTATTAAAAGCCCACTGGGGCATAGAATAATGCTGGTGCTTTATGGCCGTTAAAAACAACAACAAAAAAGATTGACAAGTCACCCTGACTTCATAACGGTGTAGTGAATCGGGACCACGTCCCACAACAGGCATTCCCTGACTGCGGTGTTCTCTTTACCATACCCACAGGACAGGGCCCAGGTATGTGTGGAAAGGAGAAAAAATTACTTGCTATCTGTCAGTGGCCTTTGAAATTTTATATATTGAATAACAGTGGCTGGTGCCTGGAAATGATAGGAATGGTTAAAGCCTTGGCTTGGGTTGGGAATTTGGGGGAGAACATGGCCACGTTCTACGTCTTTCCTTCTCCCTTCAGTTTGAGCCTGTAAGAGAGGCACTGTATGCAGTGTTTGTCTGAATAAAAAGAAAAATTGAAACTTCTACCCAGATGTTTGGCCACAGAGTGCTTCTAGATGCTTCCACAGGGTGGCTTGTTGGTGTGCGACTCACACAGTGGCAACAGTAATGACTGCATTTGACTTTCGGCCGGATGTTCCCGTGTTGTGCAGCCACACTCACAGAGCAAAGAGGCGAATCAGAAGCCAGCAGTAGCAAGGTGTCGGCAGCAACGAGGCTGGGCTCCGGACCTGTCTCCCTGCCCTTCTGCCCACAGCAACAGATAGTACCCGGCCCCACAGTGCAGATTTCTTACACTCTAACCAGAGGAAATATGGCTGAGATAAAGGAAAGCAGCGAAGAATTGAAATGCAAATTGGAATGAATGCAAAGCGAAAGACAGATGGGGCAATGATGTGGGCAGCTTTGTCCATGGAAACTACACAGTCGTCTTTCAAGGTTATTTGAAACCTGGAATAACCTAAGGAAGAAAAAACAAAGGCAAAGCTAAACATTCAGGGTTGTTTTTTTTTTCCTTTTAAAATACAATTGGAGAAACCCAAGACCTAAGAAAACCATTTAAATTGTGCAAAAACCTCTTCTTCAGGCGTCAAAAAATGAAGTGCAAATATAAGCTGAAGAATCAAGTTCTTCTGCCAGTTATCAAGTGAATTTGATATCAAGTCTTTCTACAGACTTTAAAAAATAGATGTGTAACGTTAGCTAGTAGCTTCCTTCCAGGGAACACGAACCAAGCATTCTGCAAAGCTAAACTCGCCGTGAAGTTTCACAAAATTCACATGAGGCGGGGAGCAAGTACTGCGCAGACACTTCCGCACGGGAAAATGGAAGCTCCGAAAGCCGGCAGCTGGCCGGTCAGCATCACATGACAACCACGGAGAGACAGAGCCTGAGGGACCCAGTCCAGCCTCTGTATTTACAGCCGGGCAAAACAGGATCAGAGAGGTGGAAAACCGGAAGTCATGCTGCCCCGCGGCCCTATCCGGTGTGAAGTTCAGGCTTTTTGACTCCCACGGTCCTTCCCAACACGCGCCCTGGCCCGCTGCATCTGCTGCAGTAAGTGCTGTGGGGTTTCCACATCAGCTGGGTCTGAAAGGACAGGACTGAAAAATGAAGATCTCCTGATTTATACCCAGGGCTCTGCCCTTCTCATTTTCTGTAAGTGATTTCTGGGTGTTACACCTTCAGTATCACTTCTTTTTATCTTAGAGTGTTACCTTTCTGTGGACGTCACAGCACCCTTTTTGAACAGCTAATTGGAGAAGTTTAAGCTTAAGGAGTATTTTTGCACGGGATGTATTTAATGATAGAATGCAAAAAAGTTAGCTTTATCTCACATTTTACGCAGATATACATGCATATTATGTATGTATATATACATATATTTACATACATAAACAGATGTGAGTGGGATATATATATACTTGATCAGCTTGAACTGTCGATTCTGAAGGTTCTGGCAAGGACATGGTTATGTAAAATTAAGATCTTCCCATTTAATTTTTAACAATCCAAAGAATTAATGAGCATTTTAGAATGTACAAGCCACCACCCCTTCCAAGGTGCTACGGAAGACCAAAGAATGAACAGGTCATGCTCTGTGCCCGTCAGAGGTTCACAGTCTGCAAACACTGTAGACTGTTTGGAAAATAGAATCTAACGGGGGCCACATTTCCACCGCAATAACGGATGCTGGTTTGCGTGTGCCTTGGGTCACAGATGAACAGCCAGATTTCCTCAAAGATTCCGGACACGGCACCTAGCCACACAGAGACCTTAGTACAACAGCATGGCACTGGATTTGTAAATTAACTACAATGTTCAGACTAGGTATATGTGGTGATAAAGGACACTAAAGTCCCTGCCAGCTAACCAGATCTTATCAAGAGAAAAAGACATTCTAAAAAATTGCGGCATTTCAGCACTGAGCTAAAAGCAATGATCCTGTTTGTAACCTGCTGCTATTTAAACTCATTAATAATTTACAGTAATGTGGGTTCCAACTTCCTCTTAACTGCTCTTCAAAGGGTTAGAGTCACATTTACCACTGTGTTTTATTTAATGTAGCCATGATTAATTTACTAAGCAGTTATTTTCTAGTGTCTTATTGGGGGAGGAGCTTTGAGTCATTTACATGTTTATCACCTTTAGATCTTTGGAACAAACTTTAAAGCAAATACGTGTTGGTATTTTCTTATCAACTGTTTTAGTTTACAACATTTAATTGTAAAGGTTTTGAACAAATGCCAGGCTATCTTTCTGCTTAATAAAACCTTTTAAAGGAGCAGTTAATCTACTGCCTTGCACTTGTACCCAAGAAGTTGCTAAATTAATTTACTGACAAAGAGATCAATCATCATAAATGGTGTTTAAACAATACCGGGGACTCGGAAGAGTAATAAGTGACTAGTGTTGGAATAGCATGATTTATTTTATCATCTCGTTGGTGTTGTAACAGGTTAATGGCAGAAACCTCCTTTCAGTTGACTTTGATCGAACAACAAAGACAGAAAAGATCTATGATGACCACCGTAAATTTCTTCTGAGGATCGCCTATGACACATCCGGGCACCCGACTCTCTGGCTGCCGAGCAGCAAGCTGATGGCCGTCAACGTCACCTACTCATCCACAGGCCAAATTGCCAGCATCCAGCGGGGCACCACCAGCGAAAAAGTAGATTATGACGGACAGGGGAGGATCGTATCTCGGGTCTTTGCTGATGGTAAAACATGGAGTTATACATACTTGGAAAAGGTATGCTATGCCTGCCCACTGAGGTTAAAAAATAAGGAAGGAATGATTAGCATTTTCCAGCAATCACCCAGAGCACTATGGGAGGAAAAAATAGTGGCACACGACCAAGTTCCATTTATTATTCTAAGTATCAATACGGAAGTCACACTGGTACAGCAGTGATGAATTTCTGCATTAGCCAAGTAGTTTCTCGTTAGTTAAGTTCTACTATCCAAGGCCCTTTTAAGTGATTTATGCTGTAAACAAACAAGCACTAACACTGTCCACCTGCCAGGCTTATACATTGACAACATTCGCAAATTAGACCTTGAGCATGTAAGTCACTTGTAAATAATTTCCGTGCTAGCTCTTTCGTTTATGAAAGAGCCTTACATTAGCACAGTTAAAGCTGTCAGTTTCATGTTGCTCCTGGCAGAGCTTCAACGTAATCTTAGAAAGCATGTAGATCCTATTTGTGCATTATTAACCAAAAGAGGTTATTTTCTTAGAAAGCCACACTTTCAGGTACTCTGTGGCATCTCTCCTTTCTTCTGCATGTAGAAGCAAGCATCCTAGCTTAGGCGTTTTCCCTTCCTTAAGAACTACGCACGATTGTAAGAATGGAGACTTAAGAGTTCCACATGTGCAAAATGCTAAGTTGTACGATGTGCAGCTTTGGGTATTGTCCGGGGTCAGAGGGAATGAACGTGAAAGAAAAGGAAGAAAGAAAAGTCAATCTCCCTATAATTCCTTTCTTAAAAAAATATAATCCACCAAAGAGCATATTCATAGGATCTTTCATTTGCCTTTGAGACAAACACACTAGAAAATGACTCAGTTTTGAGTTCTGATACATCTCCCACCTCTCAAAGCACTCCACCACCAATACACAGACGCACACTCTTAACAGTTGCTGCCCCCACCCTCCGTACAGCACAAGCCGCGCAGAGTAACTTCTGTCACCCGAACAAATCACATCCACATCATTGCTGTGCTCACCTCGCACAGTCTTGTCCATCAGCAGAGGTGCTCTACGGAACGCCTGGGTCCAAACCCAAGCCCCCACACTTGGGCCATCCCATCTGATGCTAGGAGGCCTAGACCCAGGCTGCTCTTCCTGAGAACCTGTTTCAGACCCAAAGCTCACTGTAGGATGTGACTTCTCTTCAGGCTGTTTCCCAGCTGACACTTGCAGCCCGGACCCTCCTGGCCACTCTGTCCCCTTACACAGTCTCCATTTCTGCCCTCCTTGCAAGAGACTGACCCTTTAGACGATGGACTGTGCCTTTTAGGTGACAAGCTCCCTCCATGCTAATCATCCCCCTCTCTGGGTGGCCATTGAGCTGGTTATTTGTTGAGAGACCACAGAGTGAGGCCCCCACAAACATACCTTTGTGGGAACAAGTCCTAACCCCTAACAAATATTTCACCCTCCAACTTAACAAGCCCAAGGCAATGTCTCCAAGTGGGAGAGGGTCATTGCTTCATTCTGGAGCAGTTTTCCCAATTTAGATTAAATATATTATAGGGGAAAGTAACAGAAATATACATACTCATGCCCTAAAAATTGACTGAAACGATCAAAATGTGACTGAAAAAATGTTTAAAAGGAGCCAGGAGCATATCCCTGACAAGGGCCGTTGTGACAAAATGACAAAGGCAGTCGACAAGGTCACCTTCATGCACCAATGAGGATCAGAAAAACCAGCAAGTCCTTTCCCGTTGTCTTTCCCAAATCCCTAAAATCCACTCAAACTATTTCCATTTCCTTGCTAAGATAGACACACTAACCCAAAACTTATTCATAGCAGAACAAGTAATATTTTACTAACTATCGTCAAATATGATATTAAATGATTGCAAAACTAGGTGCTAGAACTTGGTGAATTCAGCCATAGTCCAAGCCTTCCTTGGAAGATGCAAACTATTAGGTACCACTCTCAAGACACTCACTACACAACCTGAATGCAAAATTTGCCCTAGATATCCCCATAGAAGAGATTCTACAGAAGCTTAAGTCATGCATAGAAGTCAGTCTCAGGAGGGCTCCCAGCCTAACCATCCTCCCTGTGCCACCATCATTCCATTTCGTGTAACAGAGGTGAGGGAAGCGTCCTCAGAGGAGGAGCTTCCCATGCCCTGTGTCACTGTAGAGTTTTACCTAACCAACCTGGGTCGACCTTCTCTCATGCTGATTGGCCTAATAAATCACTGTCATTTCTCTTTCTGCAATGGTTTACAAAACAGGCAGTGTTTATTTTTATTTCTATATTTATTCATTTCATAATTTAGCTCCAATGCAGTGTGCAGTCCAGAAACCATTCTTATAGCGTGTCAGTAAGGTACAAATCAGATTTGGTACTCACAAAAGGAAGTATCAGAATGTAAATTTTATTGTCAGTACAGATGCCTTGAAACAATTTGCCAAAAAAAAATTCAAATCCATATTTCTACTAAGGGGATTTACAGCTCTCATTCCCCATGTGATGATTAACCCAGCAGTGTTTGTTGACGTTGATGCTTTATGTATGCATCACCCATTTTGGGCTGATTTTATGTCTCTTCTTTATATTGGGAATGCTTTGCTCCTCCCCCAAATACACTGGAAATTTACACATGATTTGAATAGCCCTTCAATCAAATGAGGGGGGAAGCCACCTTACTAAATAATTGCTAATTATGGATAGGATTACATTTCCCATATGCTATTTTCTCCTTGAAATATTGTCTTTAAAGCAACTCTGTTCATGCTTGTATTACGACTTATCCAAAGCCATTGACAGTCTGCCGGCTGGCTGTGAATGCCTGCGAACAGAATGCTACAGTCATGACAGGCAGCACATTAGGAATCGAGACCCGCTCATTGCAGAACCACTCACAATTAAGCAAATTAGGCAGGGAATCGTTAACAACATATAAGGTCAGGGATAACTCAATTAAAATGAAAATCATTTTCTCAAATGGAATGTTTCTGTACATTTGTGGTCACCAAATCTGCTTTTTGCTTCCCCCATTCACAAACACTGGGTAACAAATATGTTCTCTCGTTACAGTCCATGGTTCTTCTGCTTCATAGCCAGCGGCAGTACATCTTCGAATATGACATGTGGGACCGCCTGTCTGCCATCACCATGCCCAGCGTGGCTCGCCACACCATGCAGACCATCAGATCCATCGGCTACTACCGCAACATATACAATCCCCCGGAAAGCAACGCCTCCATCATCACAGACTACAACGAGGAAGGGCTGCTCCTGCAAACCGCTTTCTTGGGCACAAGTCGAAGGGTCTTATTCAAATATAGAAGGCAGACCAGGCTCTCAGAAATTTTATATGATAGCACAAGAGTCAGTTTTACCTATGATGAAACAGCAGGAGTCCTAAAAACAGTAAACCTCCAGAGTGATGGTTTTATTTGCACCATTAGATACAGACAAATTGGCCCCCTGATTGACAGACAGATTTTCCGCTTTAGTGAAGATGGGATGGTAAATGCGAGATTTGACTATAGCTATGACAACAGCTTCCGAGTGACCAGCATGCAGGGTGTCATCAACGAAACTCCGCTGCCCATTGATCTTTACCAGTTTGATGACATTTCTGGCAAAGTTGAGCAGTTTGGAAAATTTGGAGTTATATATTATGATATTAACCAGATCATTTCCACAGCTGTCATGACTTACACGAAGCACTTTGATGCTCATGGCCGCATCAAGGAAATTCAGTATGAGATATTCAGGTCGCTCATGTACTGGATTACAATTCAATATGATAACATGGGTCGCGTAACCAAGAGAGAGATTAAAATAGGGCCTTTTGCCAACACCACCAAATATGCTTACGAATATGATGTTGATGGGCAGCTCCAAACAGTTTACCTGAATGAAAAGATCATGTGGCGGTACAACTATGATCTGAATGGAAACCTCCATTTACTGAACCCAAGTAACAGCGCACGCCTGACGCCTCTCCGCTACGATCTGCGAGACAGAATCACTCGACTGGGTGATGTTCAGTACCGGCTGGATGAAGATGGTTTCCTACGTCAAAGAGGCACAGAGATCTTTGAATATAGCTCCAAGGGGCTTCTGACTCGGGTTTACAGCAAAGGCAGCGGCTGGACAGTGATCTACCGTTACGACGGCCTGGGGAGGCGTGTTTCTAGCAAAACCAGCCTGGGACAGCACCTGCAGTTTTTTTATGCTGACCTAACTTATCCCACCAGGATTACTCACGTCTACAACCATTCAAGTTCAGAAATTACCTCCCTTTATTACGATCTCCAAGGACATCTCTTTGCCATGGAAATCAGTAGTGGGGATGAGTTCTACATTGCATCAGATAACACAGGGACACCGCTGGCTGTTTTCAGTAGCAATGGGCTTATGCTGAAACAGATTCAGTACACCGCATATGGTGAAATCTATTTTGACTCCAATATTGACTTTCAGCTGGTAATTGGATTTCATGGTGGCCTGTATGACCCACTCACCAAATTAATCCACTTTGGAGAAAGAGATTATGACATTTTGGCAGGGAGATGGACAACGCCTGACATAGAAATATGGAAAAGAATTGGGAAGGACCCAGCTCCTTTTAACCTGTATATGTTTAGGAATAACAACCCTGCAAGCAAAATCCATGATGTGAAAGACTACATCACAGGTAAGTGTGTGTTTTTGCTTTCCAAGTGCCTAATTACTGTAATCATTAGATTAATCCACAAAATATCTGGAATTGCTTTTGTGTTAAACTTTATAGTTGGCTCATGCAAAATCAAATCAAACGCCTCACCTTTTAAGTGTATTTATTTCTCTATGGAACCACAGAGAAACCACAAAAGGAAAATGAGACAGTTACTTCCTATTCTGCCTGCCAATACCTAAGGCCACAAGTTTTTGAAATCTAACCATTTAAAGAAGAGAATTGACATGGGCAAGCAAACATGAATTCAGAGTCCCAAAATTAGAATTCCAATCCCGGCTCCTCTCCTACAAGCTGTGTGTCTCTATAGGCAAGTCACATAGTGCTTACTAGTTTTAGTTTCCTACACTATAAAATGTGGATAATAATGCCAACCTTATGGCATAAAATATAAGAATACATGAAATTCTACATTAAACAGTAACTAACTACCTTTACAAGTGTGCAACGTTGGGTTTTTTTTATACATGTATAAAGTTCTCGTGGAGATAATCAGTGTGAAACACAACACAGTGTGACACACCATTTCATCCCTGGCAAGTGTTTAATTCCCTCTTCACGACCCCTCACCTCAGGACAATATGGAGCAGTTTCTCCCCATCAGTTTCTTAGCCAATGGATCCTGTGTCTGGTCTCACTTCTTCTATCTTCTTATCCCTTTGTCCTCATTGCCATTTAGTGCAACTTTTGCATGATGACTCTACTAACAGGCACACTAATTTTTCCATCAATATAGGATAATTGTCAAGGTATAGATTTAAGATCTTTCCAAGTTTAGTGCATGTTGTTTTAGTTTTGCAAGATGTAAAACATCAGATCCCACTTCTGCCACCACAGAACCAGCCGGATGTAAAACCGACATAAGGTCCTTGCAAGCACTTTAGTGAGCTGACTCCTTTACCCAACCTCCACTCCCAAGAATTCTGAATCCTCCTGCTTCCACCTTCCATTCCTGATTTACACTGCCATAATTAACCTCTCTGCTGCATTCATGTTTCTTGGAGGAAGTTTCTTTTCTGTTTTTTGTTGTGGTTGGTTGGTTGGTTGGTTGGTTGGTTGGTTGGTTGGTTGGTTGGTTGGTTGGTTTGGTTTGGCTTAAGGTTTTTGTTTTTCTTGGCTTGTTAAGTGCTCCTTCAGGCTGCCTCTTTTCTAGCTCAGTGTTTGAGGCATACTGAGATGTCTGTTCCCTCGGTTCTCAAAACAGCTCTCAACATGTGGCCTCTCTTCATTTCATATCTGCTTCCTACCGTTCCAGACTGCCTAAAGCATTTCATATCTCTCTTCCATGTGAACCAACTGAAAGTCCCTTCTTTCAGCATCCTTATTCAGTCATACCCTTATAGTATTGTCATTTTGGGTTTTTCAGTACACATCTGCATTCAAATCCCATTATCTTGGTAGTGCTTTTCAATACTTAAGGCCATCTGATTTTCACTGTTATGCAGACATTGTTCAGAGTAAGAGAATTTTTGCCCCCAGGACTCTGACATTTGGGAGAAATAATTTACCCCAAAATATAAGATTGCCCCTACACACACAATCTTGTCTACACTCGTACAAAGAAAAATGGGTCACTTTCCATCCTATGTGAACAACTTGGGACTTTTCTGTCCCCACCAACACCACCACCATCCCACTTAAAAGGAGAATATCACTGGTTTTACAGCCATATGCTGCCTGGACAAAGGACCTGCCAGCCTGGCATTGAGGTGAGAGTTTGTGCCCTAGAGAAGGAAATGGGAAACCAGTGGCTCTCCATCATCCTGACAAGCAGTTTACCACTGGTTATTTAAGGGGTGTTGACAGGGGCTGACTGAAAGGCTGGAAAGCCCACAGCTCCTGAATTCATCCTCTCCTAGCAACGTGGACTGCAGGGAATGCCATAGCAGCATTTTCTGAAAAACATCAAAAGAGAGATGGAACAGCATAAAATATATTAGGTGGAATGCAATTTCAAATTTTCCAGCAATGTGCTTAATATATAAAATAATCTACACCCAACTGTACTCATAAAGCTGCAAGCCTGCTGAGTAGTTCTATAACATTATAACCTCCAGAATAGAATAAAAGCCTTATTCTGAGCTTAATGGCTTTTGGAGTCACATGGCAATATTTTAAAATACCATTTTAAAGGTTTCCAGGTTTGCTCCCCAAAAAGTTTGTCTCCACCTGTGCACAGTGAGCCTTTGAAGTCACAACTGATGGTAATCAGGACTTCTGTGCCCTTGGCCAGTTGTGCCAGCTTTCAGCATTCATCTTTGATTAAGAATCAGCCGTTGATTTTAATACTCTCAATTTAGGGTTTTTATTAATAGAAAATGGGTTGTGGAAGTCCACATATCCTTGGGCAATCACTTTTGAAAGCTAATAACACACAACTTCTATTTGAGACCAGCCTTTACTAACTACAAAAACACATCCCATTTGTTTTCTACAACTGCATCTCTTTCATGCCGCTGCGCAGTGTTATTACCCCTTTTATCACTATTACCAGCACAGGATGCAACTTAGCAGGAATGACAGCTCATCCGGTCTGTGTGAGTGTCTAGTATTTTGCATTTTTTGTAGCACTGGCCATAGTTCTGCTATGAAGGTTATTGTCCTCAGGTCTAAAAATATAGAGAGTAGGTTTTGAATTGTAGGATGAAGGCAAACATGTGCTCTTTTTGAGATTATTATTTGTGAAATTGGGGTTTTTTAAGGTAAGAATTTAAATTAATGAATTAGCACAAAATAAACTCTAACACCTTTCATTCTGAACACTCTTCTCCTAGATGTTAACAGCTGGCTGGTGACATTTGGATTCCATCTGCACAATGCTATTCCTGGATTCCCTGTTCCCAAATTTGATTTAACGGAACCTTCTTACGAACTTGTGAAGAGTCAGCAGTGGGATGATATACCGGTAAGAAACAAAAAGAAAAGCTATGAAAAGGTGATATATGGCTTACTTGTCTTATTTACCCATATTGAATCACACTCCTCTTGTGAAAACTATACCAAAGATGGTTGTTAATTTTTTTACTCTTTTAGGGAAGAAAAATACCACTTCCTCTGCATTTCTGTTCAACAAACCAGGGGCTTGTTAAACAGGCTTAAATGTGGTTTTAGTGATGCTAATAAAAACACAGAAAAACATTATCAAAAAGTAACAAAATGCAGAAGCTCACTTTTGAGTGCTGGGTTTCTACGGAGAATCCCATGAAAGCACATTTATGGCACTTGAAACTCAAAGGCAAAAATGCAATAAACATGAGGACAGGGGGTTCATATTACAAATGAGCAGCCCACAAACAATGCCATGAAGTTCACCTTCTTTAAAATATTAACAGTGTTTGATGGGAAAAGATTAAAAATAAAAATAAACATTCTCTGGTAAGACTCTACCTATAACCAGGTGGGGTTTATAGAATTTTCCTGAGAATAACAGATGGAGAGGCCTGTAACTGTTATGAGAAATAAAAGAAAAGAAATATAGAAAATTGCAAAGTCAAAGCTGCCATTTCAGAAAGTGGCATTTTCAATTCCCACCATTCAGAGATTGTAAAGAAATGTACCACAGAACACCAGAATTTCTAACTTAAAGCAAGAATAATTAGAGGTCAAGAAATTGGGTTACCCCATAATGATAAGAAGGAGAAGAGAGTGCAGAGTTTCTTAAATTAATGCCCCCCCCAGCAATTTCCTGTTATTTCAATGACTACAAAGAGAAAAGGCAAATCATGATTAACACACACATACCCTATACAATACCAATACCACTGTTTTCTGTTACATGTTTCATACTTAACATAAAAGCAATTCCTTTTTCAGATGCTGCAAATACAGCCATGTGCTGCATAGCAGTGTTTTAGTCAACAAGTGCATATGCAATGGTGATCCCGTAAGATTATAATACCGTATTTTTATTGCACCTTTAGATACACAAGTGTTTAGATACACAAATATTCACCATTGTGTTATAACTGCCTACAGTAGTCAGTCACATGCTGTACAGGTTTGTAGCCCAAGAGCAACAGGCTGTACCATAGAGCCCAGGTGTGTGGCAGGCGGTGCCATCTAGGTTTGTGTGAGCGCACCCTGTGATGGCTGCACAACAAAATGGCTTTAAGATGCATTTCTCAGAACGTCTCCATGTCATCAAGCAGCGCGTGACTATATATCCATACTGATAAAGTGCTGTGAAGACACACTGACATTTCCCAATGCATTTGAACGTGCACATCCAAATTCTGTATGACTTTCCAGCATGTCTGAAAACACTTAAGTCTAACTGTACAAATGGACTTGCCAACTTTTTTCCTAGGCAGCCTTTAAACATGGTTCAAGTTCTCTGTCCAGAGAAGCACATCATAAAGACAGCTTAGGGAATCTCTGGCAGAGACATTGAGGCTGCCCCAAGTGCAGAAAAACAACTGTTTCTTTCATTGCTGCACATGAAACAGATGTTTCTATTTGGGAGACACTGGCCAAACATCTGGTAGTATAAGAAATGTCTGCGTTAAGCTGCCCTCAATTTAAAAGATTTACCAATGTAGACTGTCCACTGTCCCCAAGTCTGCAAAAAAATAATTGTTTTCCTAAAGTGATAAATACTCGTCCCTGTACATTTCAGTTCTGCCATTACACTGCCAATCCTGAGCTGAAAACTGTTCACAGGGATGAGGGACGCAGTTGACTTAAAGTTAAAGCACAAGCATTTCAAAGCATATGAAGTGGGACCCAGTGATGGGCCCTGAGCAGCCCAGCCTTTCAGATCCTTCTCTGGGTTTGGTTCTTTCGCCTCGGCCTCCTGCTGGGACAGGGAACCCGATACGCTGCGTTCCCCACGTGGAGCAGGCCTGGGAAGAGAGCATCTAGGAACTGTACGAGAAAGCTAAAAGCATGAATATTCTGCCCACATTAGAAACTTTAGAAAGCTTTTAAGAAATATGTGATAGAGCTCAGCCTTTTTATGTTTCCAAACCCATTTGGATCACCTTGAGGGGAAGGGATCTTGAGTGCATTCCTCCACCCAGGGTTGGGCAGGCTTTCATCTCTGAGGCACCAGTGGAGGCTTTAATCCCTGCCTCGGCGTCTCCACCGCCCCCCCACCCCCCATTCTCTGGTCAGCCGCCAGGAAGCCTGGCTGGGGCTACAGCCGTTCTTTCACGCGTTGCCCGTTGTGTTTTGCCTTCCAGCCCATTTTTGGAGTCCAGCAGCAAGTGGCGAGGCAAGCCAAGGCCTTCCTGTCGCTGGGGCGGATGGCGGAGGTGCAGGTGAGCCGGCGCAGGGCGGGCGGCGAGCAGTCGTGGCTGTGGTTCGCCACCGTCAAGTCGCTCATCGGCAAGGGCGTCATGCTGGCCGTGAGCCAGGGCCGCGTGCAGACCAACGTGCTCAACATCGCCAACGAGGACTGCATCAAGGTGGCGGCGGTGCTCAACAACGCCTTCTACCTGGAGAACCTGCACTTCACCATCGAGGGCAAGGACACGCACTACTTCATCAAGACCACCACGCCCGAGAGCGACCTGGGCACGCTGCGGCTGACGAGCGGCCGCAAGGCGCTGGAGAACGGCATCAACGTGACGGTGTCGCAGTCCACCACGGTGGTGAACGGCAGGACGCGCAGGTTCGCCGACGTGGAGATGCAGTTCGGCGCGCTGGCGCTGCACGTGCGCTACGGCATGACGCTGGACGAGGAGAAGGCGCGCATCCTGGAGCAGGCGCGGCAGCGCGCGCTCGCCCGGGCCTGGGCGCGCGAGCAGCAGCGCGTGCGCGACGGCGAGGAGGGCGCGCGCCTCTGGACGGAGGGCGAGAAGCGGCAGCTGCTGAGCGCCGGCAAGGTGCAGGGCTACGACGGGTACTACGTACTCTCGGTGGAGCAGTACCCCGAGCTGGCCGACAGCGCCAACAACATCCAGTTCCTCCGACAAAGCGAGATCGGCAAGAGGTAACGCCCGGGCCGCGCCGTCCTCGCCGCGGGGACACCGGACTGGCCGGCCGCGGTCGCCTCGCCTCGCCGGGCCGGACACGCCGCTCTGCTCAGCTCGTCCTGTAGCACAATCCGAATTGGACTCTCCACGCGGAAGAGCCTTCTGGGAGAACGATACTTGCTATTAGAAAAAAACAAAACAGAACCACACAAACAAAAAACAAAAGACCACTTTTTTCTGAATGACCTTAAAGGTGATCGGCTTTAAAGAATATGTTTACATATGCATATCGCTGCACTCAGTTGGACCGAAAGTAGTAAAAGAAAAAATAATAATAATAATAATGAAAGAAAGGAAAAAAGGCCTCAAAATTTTGCTCCGGGCCGTCTGTTCCTTCGAAACACTGTATTTAAGGTAAAAAAAAAAATGCACACAGTGTTTCCAAATATTACCGAATTGTCGACCTTTGCTTACAAGAAGCAGTCACTCTGCATAGGATGTGATATGTATCTCTGTTCATTTTAAAATGTGGGGGAAAATTGTTGTTTATAGACAACCCAACTGCTTTCCCTGTGCAGCTTTGTAAAAGGACATTGGCACAGTGACTTCTGCTTCGGCGGGGATTTAATAACGGATTTTACAACGCTAACGTGGTTTGCCTTGGGGCAAAACTGGCAACTAGAATCCTTGTCACTGATAAGCAAAGGAAATCCTGATTTTTTTTGTAAATTATGTGAGACAAGTTGTTTATGGATTTTTATATGAATTACAATTTACTGTACATCAAATATTAGTCTCAGAGGAGTTAATTTATGTAAAGTGTTTAAAAAGTTTATACTTAAAAATAAAATGATAAAAACATGTGAACCGTGTGATTTTTTTAAAAGGATTGCACCTTTTGTTATCTGTTATAGCTGTACAGTATAAATTATTATATTGTAGAGATATAACAACTTATGCCTATAATGTCCAGAAGTGTTAATATTTTTGTATTAGGTTGAAAAAAATGTGCAACTTTCTATCACTAGATGGATAGGTCAGTGCAATCCTATGTGGGTGGCCAATCAGAGAACTGCTCCTTTCTCTTCCTTCTCTTATTCATCACACCAGTGTCCTCAAGCATTATCAACTACGGGCACAGTAGAAAACTTAGAAAACTACAGCTGGTGGAATCTAAGGGAAGATATGAAAAAACAGGGAGGGAGGGGTTTCCTGGCCCACTCTCAACCCTGAAAGTCCGTGGGGAGTCGAAAGAATTAACCCTGGGGTTTTTACTATTACTGTTACCCTTCTTGAAGCTCCATCTCCTGATGGAGGCGAGACGACATCAGAGGCCCAGGAAACATTTCTGAGGAGGGAAGGCTCTGATGAAGTCGTGACTGTAAGCACGTGTCTTAAGGTCTAGGAAAGACAGCCGAAACCCAGCAGTGGGCAGCAGCCAGGAGGAGCCGGGTCACTCTGCTAGTCTTGGGTTTGGACCCTCGGGTCACCAAGAGGGGCAAAAAAGGGAGACAAAAGCTCCTTCTTGTAAGCCCACATGACCAAACCACCTTGGTTGCTGGTTTGAATGGCAGCCTCTGCTCTGTCTCGGGGAAGCCGGGTGGCAGATCCAGCTGGAAGTGAACTGACAGCCGTGCCCTGCTGCACACGTGCGTGCTGCGGGAACGAGCCCAGCCGCCATCTGCACTTCTGTGTCGGCTCAGCCGCTCTGACAAGTCTCTTTCGTGAGCACTAAATTCAGCCACAAAAATATTTTTAGAAAATATCTCTCAGTTCATTGAGCTATAGTACACACTGTTTTCCTCTATGTATAATGGTGATAAAATATAGCAAGTGAACATGTCGTAAATATAAAGGTTCAAGTGATGTATTGAAAATAATTTTCTAACTGCTTTGTATGTATCACATACTCAAAATTGCACAGTAGGCGTGTTTATTAAACAGACTGGCTGGGAAAGTTTCAAAATAGCTACTGAATTTACAGTATCAGTGCTATTACTGTCTTTGTGTATTTGGTAGAGCATACCGAGTAATTAATCTTCTAATGAATGCTGATATTTTATTAGAATGAAAGCACAGATTAGCATTAATTTTTTTATCCTGGAAATCCTTTGGCAAGTATTATGAAGCCCAAATTTAGAAAACTATGAGATTTCAAACCACATAAACATGGCTCTGTTTTACATTTTATTTTTTAACTGTTAACTTAGGTATTTGCAGTTCTGTTCAATGGAACTTCTGCAGGACTGTATTTAGCATGCTGTAAGTACTTTTGGGTGAAATAGGCTCTGAGTCTAAATTCTCAGAAATGTTTCTGATGTATTGACCATGAAAAGCTTGTACCACATGACAGAAGTGAAATCATAGTCTTAACCCCTTCTCGACACGGACTGGTCTTTACACCAGCACCAACAAATGACAGATCTGGAGTATCTTCTGGTGCTTATTTTAGATGAAGTCAAATCAACACAATTAGTGTCTTGTTAGTAGGTATAATGAGCCTATTTCTTTCTAAAAAGACTTGTGATCTGGACATGCTTTTACAAGAAATAGTGACCTTGGGGAATATGTAAACAAAAGACCTTTTTCTAAGAGTTGGGGGTGGGGGGTGGGTGACTGTATAATGAAAAGAATTAGCTTACAAAAAAGAAATTGATATTCAAAGTATTTTAGGCAAAGCCAGTCAAAATGCTTTCATGATATTTTGAGATGTAAATTTTGTCTGATTTGTATTGTTCTTTTCATTTGCCTTCTTAACTTTATATGTGACCTGAATTTTCCATAACTTGATGACTATAGATTGCATCTAGGCATTCCAATAAAAGCCAACCCAATGTGTGTGTGTTTATATATTTTTTCAAGTCTTGGGCTAGCCAGTATTGCCTTTGTGTTTAATGTGGAGGATGCAAGTAGATGCAGTAGTTGGGGTATTGATTCATCTGCAACTCAGCTGGTATTATCGTCTTTTTTTTTGTCCACTGGCCAGACTGCCAGCTCAGCAGAGTGAACTTCACAGGGGACTCTCCCATGGCCTACTTTAGAAAAACGTTAAATATACCCCTACAAAGCCAATCACTCTCACTGTAAAGAATAAAAAAAAAAAAAAACAACACCCATTACTACTCGAGAGCAGGCCTCATTCCTGTGATCCTGGCAATAAGTGTGCTTAATTAAAACACTTGATTAGAATAATCAGTTTGGGCCTGATCGGCTCACGGCCTCCTGGAGATGTCTAAACCTAAATACAGACCGGCTGATTGGGGGATGCTTAGTTCAGCAATTCTGGGCTGGCAGGCCAGGGCTTTGATTTTAGTTGGAAAAGGCAGACTTCATCACACTTGCTTTGTAGTGACAACCTCAACTTGATAACATGTTGATCCAACAAGAATCAGGTCACTCCACTTGGCAAACTGGTCTATTTTCTTCTCCTTGAATTAGACTTTAACGTGCTCAAAACGGGAAATCTAGAAAAACGCAGGCGAATTACTACTTTCACTTTCTACACTCCTTTCCTTAAAAGCAACATCTGAACAAATGCAAAGAAAAACAGTATAGGTAAAAATTATATCTTAGAAAATAATTTTCTGGGTGTAGGATATGCTGCCACCACATCCTATGAAATTTGCATGCATCTATTTATATTCATCAAACATTACCTGATAGTTGCATGGCGTTCTAACTGCCAGACCTGAACATAAGCACAACAGCTGAATATAAGCGCCTCAAATCAAGACCAGTCCTCAAGCACTTTAAAAGATGAGAAGAGAATTCTGCCTTTGATGAACTCCCCAGCCATGCCCACTGATCACTCTGTGCACCATCTTTTTTCTCCCTTTGTCCCGGCCTATGCCTGAATGCAGTTGTTTCTCTCACCTGCTGACAGCAAATCAGCTGTCCCAGGTGCCTTGGAATGAAGGATTCAAAAGAGGAAGCCAGAAGGCACTGATCCACATCATGTTCTGTCTGTGGCAAAACCACCTGGGCAGCGCTCACAGCAGCTCTCTGGCCGTAGTACAGAGGAAGACAAGATCCACCTGGACCAAGAACTGCCAGCACCCACCTCCAGTAAGGTGAGATGTCATTTGAGCTCCAGCAGAGTGGGGTGAGCCTGGAAGGTCAACAAAGCAAGATCTTACCCCTCCCAGAGATACCCCAGTTCTTTCTCAGTTTCCTTCAGAGGAGTAATCTGATTCCAGCCCCCCCCCAGTCCACAAAATGCATCAAATTATAGAAGCTGGAGGTGGAAGGACTTAGAGAAATTCAAGTGCACTGTCCAAGTCCACAGAAGTGGCTCAAGCTAGGTGAGCAGAGACTGCATCTCGCCGCACCCTGATGACGGGGCCCAGAGAGGGGCTGCAGACACTCCTTACCACCCCCTTCCCATGGGCACCTGCGCTCTCCAAAGCTACCATCACTTACAGTCATGACATGTGTTTTCATTATACAAAGATGCCCCCGCCCATCAACTACGCATGTGCCGCGGGGCCCCCTCTGCCTGCCAATATTTCTAGCTCCTCAGCAGCCCTCCTCGTAGACAAGCAAGTCTGCCATGCAGTGTTAATGACCGTCCATAATTTGTAAAAGAAAGACCGTGGGGCTATTTACCTAGATTTTCCATAAGCCATTTATCTGGCTTTGGACATCCTACCAAGTCCATGAAAGAAAGAAAAACGAATTATACACCATTAATACCCATTTTAACCACAGAGTTAAGCCAGAGTACCAAAGAGGTACTGATAAGCCGTTTGAATTTTCTACTTTCTAATTTAAGCCACATAATGAATATCCTCTCTCGCCAGAGATCTCATTTGCTATTCACCACCTCTGCGAGCAGTGGTCTCTTGATGTCTGTTAATTACTAATAACTTTTAGGTAAATTGAGTAAAACCTTTTCATTTACGAACTGGCTTAAAATTCTGTCATGGAGGAATACAGGATTCCTGGAGTCCTGTGTATAGAGAGTTTACTATAAACTGAGTCTAAGCCTAGAGTAACATCGTTATTCACTTTAGAGTTAATGGGCTCCTCAAAGCAAATTTAATAAATCCTTCTGGGATCTAAGCTGATGAAAATTAAAATCAGAAGCATAAACTGTGACTGTTAGGGCAGGAGAGTGGCTTCGTTACGGTCTTCCTGCTTATAGGGCGAACCGTGAGGGAAGCTGAGCGCGCCCGGGCCACAGGCATGGCGCCCGCCGCGGAGGGGAAACGGCGTCCTCTCTCACGCGCCTGCATAGATTCCCGCGTCCCGCCCACAATGGCTGTTTCCACGCGACTCGGCTTGCTGCGTGCAGCGGACAGCACTTACAAGCGGTCCACTGGGTCAAAAGAAATTCTTAAAAATGTTTACAAGCTAACTTTATCAATGGGGTGTGGTGAGGGGAGCACGAATGCCCAAGGAGTCGAAGGGACAGGTTCTCTGACACGACTGGAAGGCTGAAACTGGAACTGCTCCGTGGAAGTGTGTGAGGAGGCACCCAAGCTCCCTTCCACCCTGGGCTCTTACCGCGCGCGTGATTAATGTCAGGGAAGAAGCTGCCCGAGCCCAGCTCTTCCTCAGAAGCTAACACTAGGGAGATTCTAGCGCACCTGCTCTAGATAACACCCTACAAGAACAGCCCCCAGGACGCCTGACTCCACACCACAGGGCGCCCCCTTCTCTCTCCCCCCGCATTCGCCCGGCGGAGCTGTCTGGGCTGCCACGGACCGGCTGTGTCTGACCGCGTGCCCTTCCGAGACTTGCAGGGAAAGCACACGGCTCCCTTGGTAGACCAGATGGACTTTAATTACTCGGGATATCAAAGGGAACTAGAGTCCCTCGTCCCCCACCACTTGGCAAAAGGTTATAAAACAAGCCGTTTTTAAAATCTCCTCACTTCAGCTGTGACATTATTTACAAGCTCAACAAAAATCAGGCCTGGGGCTTAAGCTTCTGTCGCCAGCACTGACAAGTGACCCTGCAGAACACAAAGATGATGCGAGGGCGACGCGCAGGGAGAGACGCGGCAGGGACCTGGCACGAGGGCGGGTGCAAAGGGAACAGAGGACATAGTTCCCCACGCTCGCCCTCCACCCCGGGGCTTCCCTGTCGCCTGCCCGTTCAGCTCCCGGACTGTGGCTTTGCGGGACTGAGAAGCCGTCCTAACGTCTGGCGGCCCCATAGGCAGCGCCTTCAGGACACGTCCGAGCTCCCCAGGGCGGCGGGACTGTAGGCCATGGGCCACCGACTTGCGTCCGGGTGGCAGCGGCCCGGCGCTTTCGGGAAGGGCTCCGGCGCCCCCTGGCGGTGCGCGCGGGTGGGGCGGGACGTCCCGGGGCCAAAACCGCAGCTCCGCGGCCAGAAACCGCGAAGGAACCTGCCCCCCCTCCCCCACCCCACCCCATCCCCACCCCATCCCCCCAGCGGCAAGGCCGGCTCTAGAGACCCTCGGTTTCCCCGTCCGAGCTGTGCCCGCAGAGCCGCCCGCGCAAAGCAATTCCTTCTGCTTCATGCACCGCCTCACCGAGGCCTGGTCCTTGCAAAAATCGCTCGCGTAAGATTTCCCTGCACGTCAAGCAGCAACTTTGTCACACAGTGTCCCTTTCACTTGGCAGATCAAAAATAAGGCCCTTCCTCCCAGGAATTGTCCGCGGGCTATCTGAGTTTCGCAGCCCCCCGAAAACAGTGATTTCTGAACTGTCGCATTGTTTCCCTTTTACTTTTCATGTTAACAGTCCTGTCGCTCTAGGAAGAATTTCCCAGAAGGACAGATCATTGAGATTCAGAGTGGCGTTTTTATTTGCGAAGGAGCCAGGCAGCTCACAGAACGTGCTAGAGCGACAGCCTGGAAAAGCGAAGGCCCCCTGCCCCTCGCCTGGGCCCCTGGGGGTGACATCCCAGCTCCCAGCCCTGCTCCCGCCTGCATGGGGAGGGGGTGGGGGGCTGGAGGAAAAATCCCGGACTCGACCTTTTTGCTCCTGGTTGTCACCCAGCGGAGCCAGCGGATGCTAATTTTAAATGGCAGCCTGTGCTGGTGTCCTGCCTCCAGAAACGGTCCTGGCTAGAGCCCATGGGCATTTTTGGAGGACAATAAGTCTGCCCCCTTTCCTACCAAAGCTCTCGCTGAAAAGAGGAAGCAGAGCAAAGGTGGCACGTGGGAGCCAAGGCATCACCTTAGAGAAAGGCCAGGCCGGAGGGTGCAGGTGTGGACTCCCAGGGCTGCTACCTGGATGCCAGGATTAGCCCGGCGCGGTGCCCTGGCAGTCCTGTCCAGGCGGGCCTCTGCCAGCGGGCAGCCAGCAACCCCGTCACTCTTCCCAGCCCAGCAGGGAGGGGAGACACCCTATGGCCCACTGGGGGCTGGAAGGATGGGGAGAGGGGCCAGGAGTGAGATCACACACACGCCCCTCCGGCGGGGGTCAGGGGCATGGGGAGGGGCATGCAGGAGGGGGAATGTTTCATCAGCCCCCAGGTTGTCTGATTCTGCCACCAGTGGCTTGTGGCCATCAGCCAAGTTGCTTCTCTCCCTGTCACCTCCGTGGGTGACACCAAGCACCTCTTTCCTGCTCTGACACCTGTAGGAGCTGCTTGGGGAGCCAGTCCTAACATACGTGTTCTTGCAGGCACAGAGGGGCAGCCCCCAGCCCAGCAGGCCCGTTCACAAACCTGCTCCCATCTGAGTCCTCCCCCCTGGCTCCCAGCCCAGCACCCTACGGCTGTACCAGAGCGGCTGGGCTCCCCTGCAAGCTGAGGGCTGGGGTGGGTGCCAGGGCCCTGGACTTTTGGAAGGCAGTTAGTCCCTGATTAGTCCCCCGCTGGCTACATGTGGACGCAGATTTGCCGGCCTCTTGTAAATCAAA